CCCCCCCCCCCCCCCCCAATATTAGTTTTATTTACAAAATATTTGTTCACTATTTTACACACTGATGCTTTCGAATGATTTTTGCAAATTTGACAACCTCATCTGTGTTAAATATCTAGATAAAGTTATCGTGATGGCAGATTTGAAAGAAGTTGCTATAACAATGTAGAATGCATCATAAAACCACATGTTTAAGATTGCATGTCATAAACATAGACGTACAAGATCGTGAATGTAATTGTTCACTTTTCTCAGGAGTTACAGAATAATATAGCAAGCGGCATTCCTCAGCGCTGGTCGTGGAGGTCAATCGCATGCCAGGTAGATCCGAGGCAACAGCTGGCAGGTGGAATCCCAGGCTCACAGTGGGCAGATGGCTGGTGTAGTATGATTAGGGAGGGGGAGCTGATTGTGTTTGCCTGAGATTGATCAATTCGATCCTTTGTCTCTCTGCTTAAGACAATAGAGAGACGGGTTAATAAAACACGACGGTGTGTTGGGACACAGAGGGAAGCGGGCATTCTTGACTCAATCGATTGAGTAAACAAAGGATATAGAGCTTAGGATGAGATGTGCTGAGAAGGAAGAACATCATTGAGCATTAGCAGGTTGATACTGAAGAGGAAAAACGTATTATCTGAGTTTGGGCTGTTCTTATAGCTGGTGGTTGACCAATATATCGGCCGATATTTGGCATTTTTTCAATATCGGCATCGGCCGATAAGTTTTCCTGTTTGGCCGATGCGTTCAATGCGGGACTTTTATTTTGACGGCGCTGAGAACGGCAGCGCCTGCGTGCACAGTGCTCACATTCTCCCTCTTGTTCGATGTTGTCCTTAACAGTTGTCTTAATACAGATAGAAGTCTGTTTAATAATCAGATAGAACAGTTAAACAAAGGAATTAAAATGTATACAAAAAAGTATTATAACGATTGGTTTTATATTATTAGTAATAGAAAGGCAAACATTATAATACTTTCTTGTTTGCCGTCAGCATTCAGCAAATACGC